CTTGAAGCGAACCCTGGAGAGCTTTGTGAACAAGTTTGCAAACCGCCTTTACAACTCGACCGAAGGCGCGCAGTCGTGCGGGTGGATCTACGGCCAGGTGGCCGAGTTGGCTTCTTCGGTGGTGGCCAACACCAACGTTAAAGTTACCGTGCGACAGTTCGTCCACCCGTGGGGACAGTACTCTGTGATTGCCCGCGTCGAGCCTACTACTATTGTCAAGGACGACATTGTCATTTTGAGTGCGCACCAAGACTCGATCAACACAAGAGACCGAAGGGACATTGTGAAACGCAAGATCGCCCCCGGGGCCGACGACGACGGGTCGGGAACCGTGACCATCTTGGAGTCGCTCAAATACTTGCTGGCGACCCCTGAGTGGACCCCCATTCGGCCCGTGGAGTTCCACTGGTACGCCGCCGAAGAAGTCGGCAAGTTTGGGTCCTTGGCAGTGGTGGCAGAGTATGCGAACGCCAGCACAGCCGTGCTCGCCCAGATGCAGCAGGACATGACGGGGTACGTCGCCCCAGGCACGAGACCCGTCGTGAACTTTATCTCCGACTTCACCAACAAGAACCTCAACAACTTCGTGGAGACGCTCGTCACGACCTACTTGGGCCTTCCCGTGAACCACTCAGCGTGCGGCTACGGCTGCTCGGACCATTTCTCGTGGAACGCGTCTGGGTACCCCTCGTCATTTCCGTTTGAAACCGAGTTGGCGGACATGAACCCATACATGCACTCCGAAAACGACACGATCGACACCATCGATTTCAACCACATGGCCGATTTCACCAAGCTCTCGATTGCTTACGTTGTCGAGCTGACTCAGGACAGCGCCACGTCATGCTAATCACCTCATTGTCCCATCGTTGTACCATACCCACGGAGTACCAGTACTAATAACAGTTATTGTGCACCTGTTTGGGCTATTTACATCATATACCTGGGTGTTTACATGAACCGTTAGTGTTTTACTAAAGGAGTAACCAAGCCTTCCGTTGACCCCAAGCGCCCGGGAGGCCTTCTGCGCAAGCGCGGCCGTACGAGAGCGCGGATCTAAGCTTCTCACTTCACCGAACGATGTCTGTACGGTATCGAATGACCTAAATTTTAGCATCATCATCCCAATTTACTCTCATCTGTACCAATTATGACCTATATTAATGCTTGATGACGTTTGGATGCTGTTGGATGACACATGATACAAAACACGGAGTTTAGAAATCCTACAAAGCAGTACTGGTAGTAATTAACATAAGAATGCATGATCATATGTATCTTACGTTTGTCGCGACTTACTATGTACTACGTAGTACATACTACATATAGTACCGGTACTACTACCTTAGACGGACTTAGAGCATCTCCACTGCATCCTCTCATAT